CATTTGACCAAATAATTTTTCTAAAAGCGATTCGCTAATCGATGAAATGAAGAAATATTATGGTCTCAAGGCTTGCAATCAATGACATTTTTATCAATGCATCAATACGATGTTAGATTGTTTTATACAATTTAATGTATCTGCAGAAGGATTTTCAACTTCGTCTCTCTTCACTTTGTTTTATGTTATGTTATTACATTTGATCAAATAATTTTTATAAAAACAATCGATGGATCCTAGCAGAGATAAAAATTGCTGTAAAGTCTGGGATCAAGGAACGATAAAACGGAGAAACGGTGCTGGCCAGTGGGTATGAATAACGTCGCTGAAATAACGAACAGGCCAATAATATCTAACCAGCTAGTAGTAGTAGCTCGCGCTGCTGGTGGATTATTTGGCTTACTTTGGACGATCGCCCCTAAATAAGCCGTGCCACGCATACGTAATCCGAAATTACTGACCAAACAGATATTTCACGGTAGTAAAAACAAGCAGGATATTCGAATAATTTTTACTAGAGAAGAATTGACTATCCAAAGGATGAGAGTATCCTGAATCTCAGGAATACTCGAAATTCTTCTGGTTTTATGTAACATGAGAATCTTGGAAAATGACTGTTATCATGAAGCAATTGGAACAATTGTGAAACAATTCTTGTCAGTGATCGACAGCTTTAATTAATTGCAAGGAAGCGAGCCGTAGGCGTAATGATTGTGAAATATTCGATAGAATATACAGGGTGGTCCATCTAAATGTAGCCAACTAAATGTTCATTTGCGATGAAATATTTTGTATGCAATGTAAATGGTATTGAAAAATCAATGCTTTGCAAAAATTGTTTTTTCAACTAGGTCATTTTAGAATATATAGGAGATCTTCTAGTATGCTACTTTTTGATCAGTCATTTCGATGATGTTGAACGTGAAATGTTTGAATGACACTGTTACGTAACATGGAATTCGATATTCTCAGAGCTTATTAATCAGCGTCTACTTGAGGAAAACTATGTAAATATAGTAGCTTGCCAATACTTTCTGAGGTGTTACATAAATGCAGAAACACATATAGAAATCTGTGTACCAGTTCCGACGATAGTCAAGTTAAAGCAATGAATAAGAATGATGCCTGGAAGCATCTGGATGACCGTGATGTCGAAACGGCCGACACCTATTACAGATACGCCGATTGTGCACACGTACTTTATTACTGTTATAACAATACGTTACCCATCACATGATGGAATGAGTCAACAGTTATGCCACGCTTGTCACCGTTCCTTGGGCCACAACTTCACGATGGATCATTGTCTGTGGTGGCCTTCGCAGTTCGCCTAATCTTCTCTCGTCAATGAATCAGGTTTCTTTGCCTAAAATCAAAAATATAATTCTAGTTAGAAGCTATGTTTGAAATAAATATAAAAAAGCGGACTTTTATGTAAAAACCACCTAACCACCTTGTAGAAAGTATATCTTTGTTGCAGATACTATTATTTTAGCAATAAAACATTTGTAATAATTTTCGACTCTGATGGATTCTAATGAAGTTGTCGATAGAGGAATTTTAAGAAACCAGGAAAATCGAACGGTGTCACGGACTGCATGATGGATATCGGTTGAGCTATCACCCATTCACCGCACATTCATCGATCCATTTCACTCGGGATCAATGGACCACGGAGCCAAGGAAACTGATCAGCATGCGGTCACCCGGAATGACAGCGGCGATGAAATATCGACGATATCAATATCTCTCTGCAAACACTTGTTTTCAAACAAGTTTCTTGCTTGTATTTACACTTCAAGCACCGAGACTAATATTTCCTCGGTGCTTTAAGTAAGTTCAGAACTTCAAGTAAAACCTAACAGATAAGAAGAACCATAGAAGTTTAAAATGTACAAACAACGAAAACGAATTGAACTTTAACACACTTCATGAATAATGAATTTATACATATGCAACTTAATACACTTTATGATTAATTAATTCCTATATATATTCCTTATTCTGTTCTGAGGATCGTCGAACAACTTTTGAACAGGAGTATATGCACAATGCAAACCAATAACCGCAAGCCTCTACCAGTGACCCTTATTCAATAGATAAACGCGAACTGCGCCAAGTTATAAATTCGATCCAACCCGTTCTGCAATCTCCCTTTTATCAAGAAAGGGAACGAGTGTAACGGAATTCGGGGTAACGGAATTGTTGAATAGAATGAACCGACCGTTGAATCGATTTTTGGGGACGCAAAGGAGATAAAGCGAGCAGCATTTTTCAAGCTCACCCTTTTCGGCGTTACATTTACAAAGAGGAACCGACCTTACAACTCCGGCCCCGATCGCTTCTTCAGGTCCCAACCGTCTTTAGCCCGGCAATGAACGTACACGGAAAAAGCCATACGATTCTAAGAACTGTATTAAACCTAATCGCCGGCTGGCGATTGGTCGAAAGTCACCGGACAATTCTATGCCAATTTACCCGACGACTGTGTTATAATAAGACGTATCGCAGCAGAAAGAAATGCAGAAGAAGGCACTAATTGATTCATTCTAGGAAGATACGGGAATTATTTCGTTCTCAGTACGTACTGACTTTCCATTCACGAGCCTTTGTATATTGTACATTGTTGTATACCAACGACATTTAGTATTTAAGTTAGATGTAGATTCACTGTGTGTCTTCTATTCTTCATTCATCACCGTATGATTTCACTTTTTTACTCGTACCTGCGATCTTTGTTTTTAAAGAATTAAAACCGCATTATTATTAAATATAATTTCCAAAATTGATACCTTACAAATTCGCAGTCTATTAATAATAAATAGACTGCGGATTTTCGTACACAATAAAATATTTATAGCAACAGTTGTGGAAATGTATTTTAAGTAGCTTCTCATTTTATCATTTAAATATTGCAACACGTATACAGTTCTTGGAATTCTGTACAGTTTTATATATGGCACTGTATTTCTGACATATTCAATATTCTTATAAATGCATAAAATCCGCTGATTAATAATAAATGGTTGTGCATGACCCAGAGTCAAGGTACAGCGTGTAAACATGTAAAAACTGAATTATATTACAAGAACGTGCAATAGTTTCAAAGGTCGTCTTACAGGAAGCATTCAATCCAATTTCCGTAATCTCGTAAAGGAAATCCATGATCCACAACTAACAGAAACTGGAAAACTACCGCACCATTGTGTAATTTAGTAATACGTTCCTGTATATCGTTATTTTAGAGTGAATTAACTAGGATTCTCGAGTCGATGATAATTTTCGCGTTACAGTCACTCCCATAAATATTTGACGATATTGTATTTGCGAAATTATCATTTTATATTATTAATTATAATGCATTTATCAAATTTATTCTTGTTGAATATATTTATTTATTTGGGTAACAATAACAACAATAATTTCAAAAATAATGGTTATATAAGTATCTGGCTGGATATATTAGAAATTATTTTAACCAAACAATTTTGTGGTATTTGTTCAAATGTTCAAAATTATTTGATTAAGTTGAGATACATTTATTTAACGGTAAAGTAAGAGAATGTACTGCTCTGTAATTCATTTCCGATGGAATTGACGGATAAACCCTGATGATTTTTTCTCTCATGTTTTCTACAGTTTGTACAGTTTCTACAGTACATATCAATCTTATCTTCCTTCGAGTAACGCACTGTGAAACGTCATGGATAAACTGGTAGACTGGAAATCTTGGAAATATTACAAATCTCAGAGCAAGGTCTTCAGAGTAATCAAATCACTAGTTGATAAACGCGACTGTGTACAAACACATAGAAGAAAGAATCTCGAACGCAATTTCACTTCAAACGAGATTTTACTCGTTCTGACACTCGATATTGCCCTCATACATGATATATTCAATAAATCTCTAGTAGTGACATCAGGAATAGTCAATATCAGCCAAAGAACAACAAAAATTAAAGGTTTTCTTTAAACCGTTGTAACATCGAGAGAAAACATCGTACACACTCAATTTTTCTTTTAAATTAAAAACGAAGAATCCGAGCTTTGAATTGCCATAAACGGAATTACTAAAAAAAAATTATCCAAGTGTCAAATATTGCTAATTTCTAAATTTGAAACATGCCCTTAGATTTCAGAATTATTACTCGTAGGGGTGTATTAGATTAAAAATCTCTGAGTTGGATTTTAAAGTAGAGATTTCGAGCTTCTTTTAACTGAAAAAGAAATCTTCGTTCTACGCTGCTCCTGAGTTATAATCTTCCAAATTTGGCCAATTTTCGACATTCTCATGATGCCACAATCTTTTCAAGTAGTGCATAAGTGTTCCATTTTGCAAATACTGCGATGTTCGAATATTCATGACAGCAACTGGACATTATTGGTTAAATAACGAAGCTACGTTAGGAAAATGAAGTGTACGGTACAAACAATACTAAATGCTGTCTAAAAATACACCGACGCGTATCGTTCCCAATGACGACTACCGATTCGAGCGGGAACGTTAATTTGCATTTCCATGATGCATCATCGCCTCTCGGCACACCGAGTACGTATATACGGATGATTCAAAGGATTCCGTATCCACTTCGCATGCATAGAAAATGTCTCTTTCTCTCTCTCTCTCTCTCTTTCCCTATCTATATATCTACCTATCTATCTTTAATGATTTTCATGCGTTGCCTCTAATTGAAACTACGTATTTTCTATGTGTGCGTACGAAGTAGGTCCGGAATCCTTCGTGTCACCTATACAATAGTCTCAGCTACATTTCGGATGGAAATCATAGTGGTGACCCCGCCTTGAGTGTTCCTGTTGCACGTACATACATACCCCGCCACAACAGTTTAGCTCACGGTTCCCTACTCGTTCACGTACGTATGTAGGTACGTACACACGCGATTACACACGGGTGCATCATGCACGTGCACACGTAACCCGCGGCGTGTAACCACGCCGGGGCGAGGTTGGTGGGGGCACGACGGTTCTCTAAGCGACGCCGAGCGTCGCAAGTCAGTCAAATCGCGATCGTCCCCGCGTGATGAGTCTCGCGTTTACGTGGTAACACCATCAGTTTGACAAAAGTAGAGAAGCCAGCCGAGACAGTTGTTGGCACGGAATATTACCGCGCCGGTTCGTCGACAAGAATAGACACTCTTCCGGATCCCCGGCAACTGTTCCGTATATCGGTTTTCAACCGGTCTTTCCACCACGTGATAAGAATACAAGAACAGTGAAACAACCGTGAATAACAATAAAAGTGCGAGGATGAAGAGCCTAGCGATCGTCCTTCTCCTCGTCGCCGTGGCTAAGTGCCACGAGCCTTTTCAAGTAATCTTCCAGTGGAATACGATCGACGTGATGTGGCCGTCGGAAGAGGAACAAGAGTTCGCCATCGAACACGGTGAATACATACCGGCGAACAATTTCATAGCCGGTATCAAATTCTGGAAGGGTAAGATGTACCTAACAGTGCCCAGATGGAAAGACGGTGTGCCAATTACATTGGGTGTAACTTCTGCCACTCCGATAAATAAAGTCACCGCACCAAAACTCGAAGCGTTTCCTAGTTGGGAGATGCAGAAAATCGGTGACTGCAGAGCTTTTCAAATGGTTCAGAGCATGGAAATCGATCCTCTGGGACGTATGTGGGTACTCGATTCCGGGAAAATGTCTCCCTTGTCTATAGAGACGAAGATTACCTGCCCACCGAGGCTAGTGATTCTAGATCTTGAAAAAAACGGCCAAGTATTGAGGAGCTACGAATTCCCGATGGACGTCGCGCGTCACGGCATGGCGCATTTGAACGACATCGTCCTGGACCACGAGGATGGTGGCATGGCGTACATTTCGGACAGTGGTCGCGATGATCCGGGCCTGATCGTTTACTCTTTACGGAATAATACCTCCTGGAAGATCAGACATCCGTCGATGCGAGCCAAGCCTGAAGCAGTCAGGTTCATGGTAGCTAAAACGCCTATGAACCAGCCCATACCTATCGATGGAATCGCTTTATCCCCGGCGAGCAGCAAGGATAGACAAGTTTACTACTCGCCACTGTCTTCTTTCCATTTATACTCGATACCCACGTCTGTATTGAAGATGAACCTAAGCAACGTTGATGAATCTGTCCAAGAAGTCGGTAGGAAGAGCTCCCAGACCGATGGAATGATGATGTCAGCTAAGGGAGTGCTGTACTTCGGATTATTGGCTGACGACGCTGTGGCTATGTGGGATACCAAATCGTCGTTTAGCACTGGACAGAGAGTCATCTCCAGGGACCATGAGAGAATGCAATGGCCGGACACCTTTGCGTTCGATGAGGACGGCAACTTCTACTGTGTTACCAATTCCTTGCAGAATTATCTCACCAACCATGTCGATGTCAATATCGCTAACTATCGGGTGGTCAGGGCGCAGACCAAGGTGAAGAGTTATCAGTATTTCGAGGACGGGACCGCGCCGGAGCAGCCGGAGATACCCACTTCAGCCGCGAACAGGATTAGCCTCGCGGTGGCTACCGGATTAGCTATTCTGTTAGCTTACGCCGCGCAGTAACGTCTTTCTCCCTCTCTTTGTTATTCCCTCTTGTACTGCTCGCGACGAATAGGGTGTTATACCAAAGACGTTCGTTTTAAGCCTTCCGGTTGGGTGACATATCGCTCGTCCAGTGTTTCTGGTGGCCTTGACAAAGGATTTAAGTAGTTTTCAAGGAGACTCGATGATCAATGAGATTCGATGTCCTATTCTTTTTATTCTACATAAGCCTCTGGCACCGTTCACAGTTTCTTTGACTTTGTAATTAACTTCTGGTGAACTTCCTGGAAAGTGGCCTTGACTTTGTATAATTTGAAGTTCGTGTTGCGAAAATATTTGAGGAAAAAGGATTTGAGTAGAAGTTTTCAATGAGACTATTCGACGTTTTATTTTTATCCTGTGCATGTCTCTGACATCGTTCTCAACTACTTTAATGTAATGCTTAACTTAATTTTTATTTTTAAACTTTAGCTCATTCAGTATTAAATTGTTAATACTGAACAACTCCCTGAAAAATGGCCTCGATTTTCTGTAAAAATTTGAAGTTCGCGTTGTGAAAACATTTGACGAATCCTGTCAAGGTTTTGAATGAGATCATTCGCCATTTTATGATTTTTATCTTGTATAAGCCTTGGGCATCGTTCTCATTCCTTTGATTTAAAACAGTCGTTCTTAACCTTTCCAGAATCACAAAACACTCACAAATTTATAAGACTTTTACAGAAGACATCTTAAAATAAAACACTATATATTTTTTATATTGCATAATAAATAAAAATCACATACATAACAGTTTACATATCAGTCATTATCAAGTAACAATCAGTAAATAAAGTTAAAAAAAAGGAAATTGTCATAATTTTTTTAATGGGATATGGGGGGCAGATGGGTTTTACAAATGTTTTTAATATCTGATCATCTGAGCTCCTCTCATTCCTTCTCTTATATTTGCCAGCCCTTCGTTTTTCTTTGTTTAAATATTCGTTAATGTTGGAAAATCGCATAAGTACGATGTTGAGAATTGTGTTTTTCTCGTCTTAATAATTATTTTAATTCTTCACTGATTTTCTTGGCAGAACACTTTCTCTATGTTCACGAAGCACCAATGTACCACGGAAAAAGAACACCGGTTAAGAACTACTGATTTAAAACTTAACATTTAACAAACTTTCTGGAAAATGGCTATGATTTTCTATAATAATTTGAAGTTCGCGTTACGAAAACATTTGAGGAATCCTGTCAACTAACGAGTAATTGGATCATAAGACCGCATTAAATCCGGCAAGGAACTATTTCAAGTGAAACAGTAGAGGTCTCGCGTTTCAAGACCAAGCGAAGGAACGCGTCAATGTCATTCTCGTTATACAAAGCTCGACGTGTTTAAGATTTCCATCGGGAACGAGATTGATCTCCTGCAGTTCGTCGGTTACAATTACCGGACAAGTGTTTTCTACCGCGAGCACTTTTATACAACGCGTGACCCTGGTTTCCCCTTAATTAATCTTTTACACAATTTATTATGATTAGACTGCGGATGAAAAATAAAATTTATCAATTGACATCATATACTCTAAATAGTCATTTTCTTTTATCATATAAACATTGTAATAGGCATTCATCTTCTCATATTTTGTAGATTTTCTAACATGCCAAACATTTTTTATATTTACTGCCAATACAATTTTTCTATAAATGCATAAAATCCGCTGTCTAATTATGATCATACTTAGCTACTTCTAAAAATAGAGAATCGACCATAATCTGATAAATACATTACGGATTTTGAGCATTTAGAGGAAAGGAAATGCGCTGTATGTATCTTACAATGCTTGAAGATGTTATGGCTATTACGTAAGTTAAAATCATCGAATTTTGTTATCTGATGTTAATTATTGATACAGATATATGTACATACATGAAAAATATGGAGAAGGTTTCCTAGCTTTTCTTGGATAATAAGAAAGCACTATCTGATGGCTTTTGTTATATTGATGGCTTTAATTATAAATAAGTTTTTATACGATTCTTTTCTGATCTTCTGACTCTACTTTAAAAACTTGGGTTTTTTGTTTAAATGCCCTAAGTACAGCTGTCGCATGTCATATCGTTTGATATGTCTTTGTTATTATTAATATATTTGTCAATTTTCTTTCGGTCACTTTTGGCTACATATTTGTCTATTATCCTCCGTCATTTTTGGCAATAAATGATAAAATCAATCAAATTTATGCTATAAATGTTAGCCATAACATCAATAAGTAATAAAATCAATAGAATTGATACTATAAAAGTCTCTCGCATAGAAATCTGCAGGATTTAACGGTTGCAAAAAGTTTCTCTCCAGAAGAAAATGAAATAATCACCGCGTGAAACTTTCACCGATTACAATAATACCCATTGAACATTCAACGTTGCTTGCTGTGTTTTCATCATCCAACAAAATAAGTTTTCTATCAGACGATCGCGTTTAATTGACCTCGAATTAACATCGCCGATCGAGACTATTAAATCTCCCAGTCAGATTAAGACACCGTCCAGTGCGAACTGTGTCGTAGGGGAAATTAGAAAAAGTCAGACCACGATTCTAGGAAACTAAACGATTCTAAGGGGGTTGAAATGTAGTACAGTAGATTTGTCAAGAACACGATGAAAGGCCATTAGTCGTGACAGCGACGAGTTGACTGGTCCCCTAGGAAAATAAACGAGATGTCGTCGGGCCAGCGCTAGTCTAATGGGGTCATAGTTCGATCATGGAAACGGTGACTCGGAAACGAACAATAGGTCGGTGATAATGAATGGCGCTAAAGCTTTCAGCCCGAGAAATTGATCCTCTGTCAAGCAATAATAACATTCCATTATTCGTCTTCTTGTAATTCTGTTTTTAACACTAGCCAGTGTCGAACAGACACTCTGTTATCAAATACGATTTCTTAATTCGAAGAAGCACGATTGAGACATAGTTGATATTCATAATCTTAGCATACAACTGGATTTTAGCAGAATGCCACGTAGATATCGTATTTAATTTAATAACAAGCATGTAAGAAAGCAAATTACTTCATGTCTGTTATTACTAGACTGTGGACTTTATGCATTTATAGAAAACGAAAAGATGATTCAATGTCCAAGTAAAATACAAAAGAAATTCGTATTTAGAGTTCGATTTAACTTGCATAAACATTCAACATAGTTATTACATTTAAAAATGTACATGAATTTAAAAGTAATCATACGATATCTTTGCATGAGTCATTGTAGGGGCAAGCGACCATTCATTGTCAGCTATTTACACGACCAATTATTTGTAAAACTCGTAACTAACACTAAGCCTACCGACACTTCTTGTACACCTGTCCTCACCCAGTCAAAATGAAACTTAGAACAAGTTACTGTTTTCGTAATTGAACTTTGGTAAGTCGATTTGTTACTGAATGAATTAATAAATGAACAACTTTCATAAAACGACGACACAAATTTATTTTTACATAATTTCAATTATAAATTTGGAAAGAGAATTAAAAATAAACGATAGTTGTACGAAAGATTGAAAACGGTCGATGGTAGGTTTAGTGGTAGAAACGATCTACTTATTGGCATCAACAGCGAAGAGGGAGAAAGACGAAGATTTTTCTAGTAAGTACCTTAAAATTAGTGCCGTCGCCTTACGACTCAAACTGTGAATACGTATACCATATATTATATATATATATTATATATAAAATAATCTGTATGTATGTATGTACAATTAGCTACGCAACGTGTACGAATAGCTTTAATGTGTATGGCCTTATTTGCGGCGATTAATTGAAACTGTATACGAGGCGGCGCGTCGTTCCGTTGGAAAACGCGGCGTTATGACTCATTTGTAACCACTGGTGAACGCAACTTTCCGTCGTTTCGGCGATTATTCCCCCGTTAAGCGTTGCATCGACCCGGAATGCTCTGCTAACAGGTCTTCCTTAGGCAATTCGCGGTAACACCCCGCCTTGCCCCGCTCGCAGTCACAATAGCACCTTTATACAAGCTTGTAACGTAAGCTTCATTCCTGTATACACGCTACTGATCGATAATAATCCAGATAATTGACTTGCAGACATTCCTCGACGAACCTGTTATAATAGAGATGGGAAACCTTTTTGACACGTTAATTTTCTGATAATGAAGGGCATATTCAATTTCGGAAATAGTGGAAAGGCTGTCAAGCCATTAATTACGAAGTGGACTGATTTATAACATTTTTAATTTACATTTTGTACGAATACAGAATTTAGAAAATATAATTACAAAGATAATAAATAATAAGCCCGCATAGAAAATGCAGGAAGGACGCAGGTTCCCCATCTCTGTACTGCAATTAAAAGATTGTACTTGTAAAAATTATTTGACTTTCAAAGCGACTATTCCAACAAAATTTTATTCTCGAGATTAACTGTGTTTTTACGAAATTTATGTTACCTTGAAATTATAGAAAAATAGACCAGTCCAGAGAATTTCATATATATAATACTAAAATTATGTAAAAATATACTAGTGTGTAGAAATTGGGACATGAACAGAGATTGAGACATTTTAGTTTATATTAACAGAATTTTCTTCAAAACTGCTTGAAATTGCGTTTCTACGAAAACGTTACGGAAGAGCAGAATAGCTGCACCTTCTGGTCAATATCGAAGAAGCATCACATTCGGCTATTAAGCAGATGTACTGGCAGAGTGCAAAATGAATATTTCATAGGATCAGGAATCCACGTTTCTATAAGTATTTGTTAATTGAAGATAACAAAAAGAAGAAGAAATTGTAACTTTCAAAGATGAATTGTTTGGCAAAGGGAAAATCGAAAGCAGCCTCTCTTCCCACAATTATTTTATAAAAATTATTTAAGACTTTCAAAGCAAGTATTTCAACAGAATTTTCGGACCGCGCACGAACCGGCATTTCCATGAGTATTTGTTAATTGAAGATAAAACGAGAAGAAGAAAGTGGAGCTCGGTCCAAAGGCGGGTTGAAAAAGGAAAACTCGAAGGTAGCCTCTCTTCCTACAATTGTCTGTACACTTGTAAAAATTATTTGAGACTTTGAACATTTCTATTCTAACAGAATGTTGTTCTCGAGATTGCGTTTCTACGAAAACGCTACTCAAGTGAGGATATCTCCACCTTCTGTTCAATATCGAAGAAGCATCACGTTCGGCTATTAAGCAGATACAATGGCAGAGTGCGAAATGAATGTTTCATAGAAAACGATACGTGCTAGGAATCCACAGTTCCACGAGCATTCGTTAATTGAATAAAAGAAGAAGAAGAAGAAGAAGAAGAAGAAGAAGGAGGAGGTGGAGCTCAATCGAAAGCTGAATCGTTTGGAAAAGGGAAACTGGAAGGCAGCCTCGCTTTCAGCCTCTCTTCCCACAATTGTCTCCACTTTCAGTACGCAGCGTCCCAGTTTTGCGGCTAAGCCGCACGCACATTATTACACGGAGCCTAGCCCTGAACCGCGAGTCAACGAACGAACGCCCAGGGAGAGGCTCGGAAGATTACAAAACATCGCGGAGAGCACCTACCGCTCGCTGCACCTGATCGTGAGATTAATCGCAACGATCTCCTCGTTCGGTGGTTTCTCGCACCCGTGCCCGATTTTCCCATACCGAGCCGAGGAGCTTTGAGACGTTAGAAACTGAATACGCCACTCCTGAGACCCAACGCCGCCGTGGCCACTCTTGCTGCAACATGAAAAAAAAACATTGGATTCAATACATTTATAATAATAAGGTTAATCACGATTAGATTGCGGATTTTATGCATTTATAAGAAAACTGAATGGAAAAAAACGTACTGCATGCAGCGTATAAAAATATGGAAAATATCAAAAGCAGAATGCACATTGCAATATTTAAATGATAAAAGAAGCTATTCTTCTACATTTTGTAAATTGCAAACATAAATATTTTATTTTGCAAAAAAAAATCCCCAACCTAATCATAATAAATTGATGTGAACGCTGCGTAGAAGAATTAAAAAGAAATCTCACAGTGGATTTCATTGTTGACGAAGATTGCGTAAGGGAGCGATGGGCAAAAGTATGTTCGAGAAACTACGTGTAACGTAAAAACGCGAACGCGTAGCCTTCGAAACGAGTCACGGCGACCAATTGCGTTTACAACAAATGATGTCATCGTACTATGAAAAGAATATTAAATGTCTTTCGACACGTACGACTTGTCCGCTCCAAGATAATATGGTTTCTGTTCGCTCATCGGTTTATTGAACGCTAACCGGAACGTTCAGGCAGACCGGTCGACGAATATTCGGCTCTAAAATTAAACGCGTTCAATTAACTACTACCAATCCGTATTTAGCCGCCGATTAAACGATTCGCTTAAACTCAGTAAAACAGTCGAACAATATTCACGTAGACTTGCCTTACAATTTTTCTTTCTCTTTTAAGTAATAACCAGCAGAGTCAATTATTTGAGTGTAGAATATTATTTAAGTCGATGCGCACCTGAACGACATTTGTATATTTGATTATGCCAAAAGGTACCGCATAACGCTCGAGGAATTTAAACAAACGATCACTGTTTGTTTAGAGAGATTATTCGACAAGAATGTATGTACATAATAAATATCGATAAAGACTTTTAAACACGTAAATCGGCGATGAATATACAAAAAACAGGTACATTGGTCAACATGATTGGGAAGCAGATATCATTGACCAGTCTTCCAGAATTCTAGTCAAGAGCAGCTCCTGCGCCGCTTTTTGACAAACGGAAACGGGTGTCGTATACGGCTAAACGTGTATTATATACTATATGTGTGCCCTCCTTAGCTCAATTGTTCTAATCAGCACTTGTGATCTAATGAAGAACAAGGTTTTACCACTTTCATCGTGCCATGCTTCTTCTTTCTAAAACACGATTAAGTAAAACCATCTAAGAAATAATTACGACATATGTATAAAATGAACCAGTAAGAAATATCATTTAAAATCATCGACTAATTATTGATTAGATTATAAAACTTGACGAGAATATACTTGAATTTGTAAAAATTAAATCATATAATGAATCTCAATCATTATAATGAATTCATATACATGTTTCGATAAAATCATTAAGCAACAAGTTATTACATGTGCTACTTCTTACTATATGTACGAATTAAACTGTTTCCAAAGATCTACAAACTGCATTTTGTT